ATCAAGATACGTACCGATGCAAATGAATAAAGTCATTTCATACGCATCCAGACAACTTAAGCCAAACCAGATCAACTACACCACCCACGACTTAGAATTGAGTGTTGTAGTGTTTTCCTTAATGATTTAGAGACGCAACCTCTACGGCATGAAAGTGTGTATAAATGCTAAATGATTATGAATGTTAATATCGTTATCATCCTAGTAAAGCAAATATCGTAGCAGATGCTTTAAGTAGGAAAGAGCAAGCAAAGCATTTTCATGTATATGTTCTAACCCTAACCACCTACTCCAATCTCACCACCTAAATTCGAGATGCTCAGTTGGAAACACTCAAACCCGAAAATATCATAGGAGAAAACCTGCGAGGTATGGATAAATAGTTCAACCTCACGGAAGACGGAACATGATATTTCGTGAATCGAATTTAGACCCCAAAGTTTGGTGAAGTCAGGAGTCTATGCTTAAATAAAGCTCCTAAGTTGAGATATTTAATACATCCTGGATCAGATAAGATGTATCTTTATCTTAAGAAGTTGTATTGGTGGGCCAACGTGAAGCAAGAGATTGCCACCTATAACAGTAAGTGCTTGACTTACTCCAAAGTTAAAGTAGAGTACAAAACGTCATCTGGTCTACTATAACAATTGTCAATCCCAAAATAGAAATGGGATAATCGATTACCTCTAGTTGAGTTTTCATATAACAATAGCTACCACACTAGAATTAAAGTCGCTCCATTAGAGGCCTTGTATGGATGCAGGTGTCTTTCACCGATATGCTGCGCAAAAGTTAGAGATACCCAACTAGCTAAAAGCATGATACAGAAACTCTACTTACTGGTTCTGAGAACATTCATGAAGCAATGAAGAGGATCATTCAAAATGAAGGACCAATTAAATGTCACATGTAGTCATCCGAAAATCTACGTTGACACAAGAAGCAAACCATTAGAGTTCAAAAACAAGAGACCGCGTCTTACTAAAGGTCGTAATGTAGAAAAGTGTCATTAGATTTGGGAAACAAGGTAAACTAAAATCCCGTTACATCGGAGATTTTGAAATCCTGTAAAGGGTTGGTCCAGTGGCTTACAAACTCAAGTTTCATGAAGAACTCATCAAAATTCAAAAAAATTTCTACCTTTCTAATCTTAAGAAGTGTCTCTCTAATGAGAACCTTGTCTTTCCTCTCGACTAGATCCATGTCAACACTAAACATCACTTCGTGAAGGAACCGATGGAAATTATGGATCAAGAAATCAAAAACCTTAAACAAATCCGCATACCTATAGTAAACGCGCACGATGGAAATCTTGTAGAGAAACGCGAGGACCAGATGAAACAAAAGCATACATAATTTTTCAATGGTGTTCCCTCCACTACTGGAATGAAATACTAGTAGAACAAAATGATAGTGGAACAAGATATTCTAGAACAAAATAATTTCTAGATGAAATTCCTTTAATGGGGAGGTAATGTGACATCCCGGAATTTAAGTCAAAGACTTTGAACGGTCAAGTTCACAGTAATCCTCTTGGTAATTTGACTCATTGAATTTTAGTGTACCTAATATAAAATAAATGAGTGATTTCAACTATCATAAGATATCAGACGGTATCTTACTTCCAAATGTGTAAATTGACAAACAAATCAAACAGCTCAAACTGCAACCATAGGAATGCGTCTGAAAAACTAAAATTTTGTGTTAAGTAGTTGTAAGCAATACAAACACTCTAGTCTCGTAGTAGGTGTTTCCTTGATTCCGAAAATCTAAGGAACATCCAAAAAAGAGTACATATGCAAAAGATACGACCCTTTTTAAGAATACAAAACCAGTATAATACTATTTTTCTTAAAATTACTCAAACTGTTTCTATCCATTACGGGACTTGCACACCTTAAACGAAAATTCCAAATTTATTTTTCGACTTAGGATATAACCTAACATTTAATTTCATATTTGAAATATTTTTATAAAAATATTTATAAAACTTAAACTTCAGACGTTTTCAAATTATTAATCACGAAACCTTAAACTATTGATTTCAACATAATTTTAATTATTGGTAATGTGTTCTAGATAAATATAGGAATCCAAACTGGTTGCGGTGGATTTAACGATGGAGATAGCGAAACAATCAATAATTTCGTGAAAGACTATATATATGTATGTATATACGGGTATGGACATATGTCATAATAATTATATGTGGTCGATTAAATTTTCATCAATATATAATAGATGTATGTCAATTTTTAATTAAAGAAACAAATGTTTAACAAATTAATGAGCTTTCATTTCTTAACGTATAAGTTTAATTATATATATATATATATATATATATATATATATATATATATGTATGTATATATATATATGTATGTATATATATCAAGATATGATTTGTAAAAGTTAAATATACATACATATGTATACAAAAGGAAAACAGTCAATAATAAACTGCAATAAAGTCCCTATATATTGGTTTCATAATCGATTTAGTCTCTATATTTTTTTTTATTCAATTAAGTTATTAAAACCGGTAATCGTATTCAATTTAACCTTTACCGGGTCAACATGTCATCCAACTTTCAAAATATATATTTTAAGCCCAGATTTAAAAATTTATTACAAATTTCGTAGAAAATTTACACTTTTGACCCATATTATAATTTTTTTTTACAAATTTGGTCAAAAATATACCTTTTTTGGCCCAAATTTTAGAATTTTGTTCTGAATTCATCGTAACTTTAGTTTTTTTACAACTTTTTTCTTTAAAAAAAATCCGAATCTTTTTTCTGTATAAAAGCATATTTATACAAAAAAAACATATTTTCACATAAAAAACTTTATATTTACTTTATAAAACCTTTTTAAAATTTTTTTTATACGAAATACCTATTTATAAAATTATGGTTTATTAAGAACATATATATATACAAATCCGTTTCTATAAAAAAATGTATAGATACATGTATTTTACAAACACCTGTTTTATATATAAATATGTTTGAATACAAATGCATTTATTATAAAATAGGGGTTTATAATATATATATATATATATATATATATATATATATATATATATATATATATATGCACACTAGTATCGTTCCCGCTGATGGGTTTAAAACAATACATCAACCCTATGTTGTACATGCAAACAATAAAACTTTGGATATAGGTTTCTCTATTGTACATGAAAATTATCCAAAGCTTATAAACCCTAGATGTATCATACAAAATCCGAAAATATCAAATAAAACAAGTTTAGATGATTACCTTGATTGTAGATTGGAGATCTTTAGCTTATGAGAACCTAGAACCTCAAATGTGATGCCTCTATTGAATTATAAACACCAAAACAAGTTGGATGATCTAGGAGAGAGGAGATGGGAGGCTCAAAATCGGCTCTAAGACTTCTTAGGGTTTCCAGTGGCCGATTTCTGAAGCCCTAGGGGTCCTTATATAGGTGAGCTGCTAGGGTTTCAATCAAAACCCTAATTGATTAACTTAGGCATTAAGCAGTCAATTGGAACCTTTTGGAATAAGGCCTTGGACGAGTTCAAGGTGGGCTTCCACCATAATTTTGTCCACCCCTTTATCCATATGATCCATAGCCCAAAATCCAATTATCTTATAATTGCAATTCTAATCCCCTAAGTTCAATTAATATCTTTTGATCACACATTTAATTTTTAATTAATTCTTGACCTATATTAATTAAACAATATGATTTCTCTTTCAATATATTATTGATATAATATATTAACTGACCATAAGATCCTCTTTCTTTACTAATCATTAGTCAAGTTGTTTCGGGGAAGGCAACCTAAAAGGATCATGCTACAACTGGGTCAAGTACATACCAAATACACTTATGGACTTAAACACTAATCCAACACCAGCGCGATGCGGCGATGACGATTTGTTTCATTCTGGCAATTAGTTTCCGAACGAAATTTAGTGTCATTCGGCGCTCTTCAAATTGTTTCCTTTCGATTTGTTTCATATTGACAATTTGTTAATTCTGACGATACCTAGACGATTTGTTTCATCCCGACGATTAGAGCAAACAAACGATCATAAATCTCAAAAAAAAACTAAATCGTGGCTTGGAATACAAAATCGATTACCAATATTGAAATACAAAAACGAGTGCATACATTCAGTAGATAAAATAAAAGAAAACCCTAACTTTAACCGTTGCTGATAATAGAGAAACAACGATAGATCATGGTTTAGCTGTCCGATGTAGAAGATGTTGTAGGTGCGACGTTTTACGTTGGTGATGGTTATCTTCTGTAATAAAGGGGGAGATGATTGTCAGGAGTAGGATGAAATTGAGATTAAAAGAAAACCCAGTAAATGGTCAAATTAAATACAATTACCGGTTTTTGAAATTTAAATGAATAAAAAAATATAAGAACTAAATTGATTATGAAACCAATATGTAGAGATTTTATTGCAATTTTTTTTTGAATCTATTAAAAATACATACCAATAAATGCACAAAATTCATAGGGAAATTTGTTATTTACCAATTTAAACACAAAATACACATATTAAACATAAATGACCGTTATTAAACCTTCCACATCTAAAACTACACACAAAGAGCTTATACAATTTTACACACAAAATAAACATATTTTATACACATCCATACACAAAGATAACCACACATTTGTTTTAGCTGAAGCGGTCAGGACCCCCTCACATCTTTTCTCATTCTTTAAGTCCTGTCAATAAAAAAAATCCACAACCTAAATGCACACTCAAAGATTTAAAAGATACAAAGACACAAGAAACCATTCCGTGTACACTTAAAATCTCTCTTCTAATTAAAGAATAAAATCATAAGAAATCGGCCTATAAGATTATAACAAACGACTTCAACATTTATAACAACTGCCTTCAAACCATTCAAAGCTTCACCTGAACTCTTCTTCGTGAAGAGTCAAATCAAACAAACCCAAACACATCCATGTTTCCTTTCATTCTGCACCAGTTCCAGACTTCCAGTCAAGAACACATGAAGAAACACCAATCGATTTCCCTGTAAAACATAAACCCCAAACATCTATCTCAGTTTATACTTCGATATCAGCCAACACACACAAAAAAAAAGCGCAAAAAGAGAATAGAAGAACAGGGGAGCTGCCGGAGCAGCTACCATTTAACTACCTGGAAATCGCCGGTGAGAGGCTGTCCCTCTTCGTATTGCTCGTCGATCACCACCGAGACCGAAGCCTTTTCCCCTTTTTCCTTCTCTTCGGCCACACAGGAACCCTCCCTTCCCACTGATCGCGCCACTCGCACCCTCCACTTCTTCCGTCGAGCAAACCCACCGAAATTCTAGACCAAAGCCTTTTCCCCTTTTTCCTTCTCTTCGGCCACACAGGAACCCTCCCTTCCCACTGATCGAACCCTCGCACCCTCCACTTCTTCTGTCGACCTAACCTACCGAAATTCTAGACTCGTCGCTACTGCTGCTTGCATCGCTCCAGGCGGACCCGTTTCTTTTCCCCCTTCACACACCGCAGTCGGACGAGAAGAAGAATCCTCGCTGCCTCCTCTCTTCCCTCTGTCTCTTCAGCCTCTTCGAACCCCGGAGACGATCGCGATTGGTCACGACTTCCGGAATAGAGGACAGCGCACCTGCGTGCTTCCCTCTCGCCACCTTCAGTCATTGCTTCGCCTTTGGTCCTCCTTGCGACCGACGACGGGCAGAAACTCATAACGGAGTGGCCGGAAATTGGGATTACTCCTCCTCACGATAGATCGAGCGTCAGTGGTTGCCTTCGTGCCTTTTCCCCTCCCATCGTTCGTCCGCTTTAGTCGTTTCTTTTCCTTTTGCCCGTTTAAATCAAAGACGGGGAAATCAAGCCCTAAATTAGTGTAAGTTTAAACCATTAAACAACAATGGCCCCTCCATTGAAAAACGTCCTCAAAACTAAGCCCATTTTCAAACTTGGTTTAAAATATCCACTTCAGCCCATGTTTCGGAAATGGATAGCCATATGGGATGATTTTAACAAAAATCAATTCATATTGCTTATTAATTTTAACAAAGACCACCATATACTTATTTATTTTAACAAAGACCACCCTATACTTAATAACTCATACCAAACGTATGGTTGGGTTTACTAGGTAATATAAATAGACAAGATGGTTGGTTTTAAGAATAAAGAACATCATGTAACAACTTTCACGACAAGTCTCACTCTACGAGTCTGATTCATGCTACGAGAATGCGTACGATCCCTTTTTAATATTTTAATGATTTCAGGGGGAATACATGTACCTAATTATTTTGTTAATACAAATCAATTTCTTTCTTATGCGAAAATACAATAAACATAGTTTATAAAATATTATTATTTAACAATTTATTATGTTGTTACGAATAAACTAGTATAAACTTTTTGCATACATATTATGCTTATTTATCATAAAATAACTAGTTCACACAACAAATACTACATGATACAAAATTATATGATTTTTATGTTGTATTGCATATTATGACAAACATATTATAACACTTTTTAACATTTATATTTATATGTTTAAATGCATAAAAATTATACATGTACACGTGTTCTTTACTTATAAACATCATATTTATAAAAGAAAGACATTACACTTTTACATACATGTCAAGCATACTCGGTTTTTATAAACTTTATAAAACGATATTCATTATGCCTAGTGACTTAATCACAATTAAGTTTGGGCTGAGAGTTATTCACAAATTCTTTAGTTAATGGCTTTTTAGTGAGACACTACGTTATTCATTAGCTAAGCCTAACCACTTAGCATACCCACACTTCTATAAATGTTAATCTTCAGAGCAAGATACTTATGTATAGACTTATACGGGGTTGACATCCCCATCTGTGGTTCCTTGCAACAACCTCGACTGATTAATCAAAACGGGCGATTTGTGTCTACAATTTTTACTGCAACATCTAATGAAGCGTTTTAGCTAGGTACATTTAAGTCGCATAACTCGGTTATAGGATTCACTATAAACATTAACTTAAATCTCTCTCTCACACACACACATACACTCACCACAACCATGGGCATGACCGGTCCAGATGGTAGGTAACCCGGGCGACCGCCCAGGGCCTACGTCTCCAGGGGCCCAAAATTTCTAGGCTATGTAGTGTATGTATCTAAAAAAAAATTATTACCTAAATGATTTTTAGAGCCTAAAGTTGGTTCAAAGTCAAGCTAGATCAAAACATAAAGAGTTTGACTTGATTGTTATTGCTAGTTGAATGCGTTTATAGTGAAGAATAATTGATATTTTTTTAATATTTATTATATTTTTCTTTAAGGGGCCCTTTTTTTCTTTTCGCTTCGGGCCCCATATACGTTTGGATCGATCCTACATGGGCTTGGATGCTTTCAAAACTATTTGAAGTATGGAATTACTTATTTAACAGGATAGTTTGGTTTTTAGGTATATTTAAAGATTCTTTACAAGTGTGGTTTTTAAGTATGGATTTACTTATAGAAAGATACATTTTGGCTTTTAAAGACTCATGGCAAACACTGTTTTAACTATTGTTATTCATACAAAGATAATACTTTTTAGTCTTTTAAAAATTATTACTGCTATTTATAGAAACTCTATAACACTCACCAACCTTGTGTTGACTCTCAAAATTACATGTATTCTCAGGAAATCACTAAATAGACATACAAGGCGGATTGAACAAAGGTGACCTAGGTTACTTGTTGTATTATATGACTACCAGTTAAGATAATTCATGTATTATTACTATTTGTAAAAACTTCATATCAAACATCAATATGGAAAGTAAATGTCATTTTGTTTATATTCAGTTACTTGTGATCCATGAACTTAGTTGCACGCCCCTGCGTGTTCCAGCGTCTCGGCCGGGGGTGTGACATTTATTGACGAATTTGATAAAAGCATTATAACGATTCAACTTTATAAATACGAATGAATACTAAATATTAGTAAAATATTCGTATTTAGGTCGTTTTAAAAGGGAATCTGAAGTGTTAGTCATAGATTTGACTTTCCCATGAGCCTTCCAATTAAATCAGGTGAGTACAAAGTTACTTTTATGAAAACGATTTAATACAAGTAATTATTAAAAATCAGTAAATATTTGTTAAATTTTTATATGTGAGTTAAATGTTTATTACCTAGGGTATTTGCTAAATGTATATTTTATAACATACATTATGTGAACCAAATATGGTTATTTATGTCTTAAATGTTTATATGATATTGTTACATGATAATATTAAAAATAACTTTTATACTTTAAAAAGTTATGTATATTTAAATACATGATACTTTGTGTTAAATATATATACACCAAATTTACGATATTGTTTTCTACACAAAGTTAATATTAAAAGTTGGTTTCAACGATTCTAATCATGTCTAGGTTTAAAACTAAGTCGTATAAAGAATATTTTGATATCGTTAAGTTGAATAAAAAAATCATAGCATATTGTATTGTGATGGTATGGTATAAATAGGAAAATTGTTTGGAATCGAGTATAAGCATTATAGTTTTACTTAGTAATGAAATAAGATTTATAAAGCATCATTAGTTTGTTCGAGTTAAATTGAAAGAGTGTTTAGCTATAACATAAACTATAAAAATATTACATAGACATGAAATTATGTTGAGTACAAACATTGTAATATTGTCTAGTTATACATTAAGACTTAGAGATGATGCTTAGTTCAATTAAGTTTAGATATCGGTAGCATCATATTAACGGTGTGTGTAATAGGAACAGTGAGTAGAACTTTGTTCTGTGACACTATCAAGTTTTGATGTATGGATTATGAACCAGAGGATGATATAATATTCCTTGGATAGCTAGATATGGTGTGTTCGACCAGGCAATTCAAATGTTATGTGGGGTTATCTCCCGGAGTAAGATGACAAAACTCTATTATTCTAGACGGTCTTGTGAATTATGTTGCTAGTGTAGATTTATAATTCACACACATAAATGAAATAGATATCATATTCATCAAATACTTTGATGGCTTAAATTGACTTTATGAGTTACACTGTCCAAGGAAGCCCTAGTTAAGTAGTTAAACCGTTGCTCTAAACGATTCATTAGGCAAATTGAATCTTCCTAATAATCGTGGACTAGGATTTGTCATAGTCGGTTGGCATGCGTATATATGGGTGTAATGTTTTACAACTATCTAAGTTAATGTATATATCTACATTGTTAGCTACTGTTGGTTTTGCAAGTTTGATAATTATAAGTTATTATCATAATAATATTGTGGGATTAAAAACCCTATATGTCTCACCATATCTCCTAACCTAACCCACTAAAATTATATGCATCACATGTAACATGGTTATAGCTACTAGAACTTTATTAGGTTGCCGAGTGATTAAGAGACAAACTGCAATAATGCTCATGACTATTAGGTCTTTACGTTGTAACATATGTTGTGTACTGATTCTGACATCCTTAGGGTTTTGTTTTTTAAACACCATCTTTACTCAAATATTTTTTAATAAAACAAAATAGTTTCTGCAAAATGATTTATTGTATAGGGATTTTCCTCAAAAAAAGGTATTATCATTTTTAAAATGTAAATATAAGTTTTTTGTTCTAAAAAATAGGGGATGTCACAGTTGGTATCAGTACATTAGTTTAAGAGAACTAGAAATAATGATTATTTCTAGACATAAAGTTAGAGATTAAGCGATGATGGTGATAGATGTGTCTAGTATATTTTAGGTTGTATACCTAAATTAGTATTATATAGACATAAGCACTATAAAATTTTAGGGTATATGTCTTAATTAATATTATGTGCTAATAAAGTTATTTTATAACATGTCTTAGAATTTATACCTCACTTGATATTAGGTGCACTATGTAATATCCCAAAATTTAAGGCCAAAAATTTTGTTTTTAAATAAATTATAACATAAAAGCCCTCGATATAAAACATTCATAATGATATCTCACGTCACAACCAATATGTCAATAATCTAAAACATGTCACCATAAAAACCATTTTTGTCAAAAGTAAAATAAACCAGAGTACATTCCCAAAGAATCTCATAATGTGGAAATCCATCGTGTGTGTGTATGATGTGCAGATACCGCGCCAGCTCCTTCCCCTTCGCTGAAGAGGTACCTGAAACAAAACTGAAAACTGTAAGCATGAAGTTTAGTGAATTCCCCCATCGTACCACATACCATATAATTACATAACATGCATATGCTGTCAGGCATATCTGGGTGCCCGACCTACCCCTTCGGTCCTCTCGACCGAATCCTGCCTAGCATATCTGGGTGTTGGCCTCCCCTTCGGTCCTCTTGACCAGATACTACCTAGCATATCTATGTGCTGGCCTCCCCTTCGGTCCTCTCGACCAGATATTGTCTAGCATATCTTGGTGTTGGCCTCTACTTTGGTCCTCTCGACCGGATACTAGGGACTTTTCACCCCTCTACTACTACCATATAACATGTAACACATAAACGTATTCTATCTAGCATGAATGGATATGACAACCCCTTTTTGACCATATCGACCAGAAATCTTGGGGACTATCTCCCCTACTGCTACTAGCATATAACATCATATCATACTAGCACATAACATATCAGGTAGTAGCAAACCTAGATGAATATCCCAAAGATATTCATCTAACATACGACTCTTATTGGTAGGTCGGCATTGGTGCCTTAG